TCTGGGCTGCCTCCAGCAGCTGGCCGTTTGGTTTTTGGAAGAAGCCAAATGAATGGGTCAGCAAATGCCTTGGTGAATGGGTGCACCCAGGCCAAACATTTTCTAATGCCCAATTTTTTGCTGGGTACTGACGAGTGGCCAGTGGTGGAGCGTCAACCGTTGGTATGCGCACAACGTGATCTGGAAAAAGACCGCGTTTGCCGGACCATTGGCGAATAACGGGCGCGTGTGCGCGTAGAATCTCGGAAATGCGTTCGCGTTCCGCGGCGGCGCCGTCGGAAAAAACAATACCTTTGCCAACCGCGTGTGTCAGAGTGGCCGCGGGACGCGTGATTTCGCGGAATCCCGTGAAAAGGCGTTGACCATCAACGGTGATGGCGACCGGCAGGTGCATGAGCAGCGTGCGACCAAAAATAAAATCATAGTCGCGAAAACGAGGTAAAACAAGAAAAACAGCTTGGTATTCTATGCCGTGAAAAAAAAAGGTAATGAGAGCCGTGCGAGTCACGGAGACAGGGTCGGGCCCCAAAGCAGTACTGACGGATGAATGAAAGGGGGAACAGGTCAAGTTAAGAGAGCAAACAATGGCGTCAGAAACAAAAGAGTGGGAAGCCCCGGTATCGAGCAAACCTGTATACGGGCGATCCGGGATGGAGATCTGAAGAACCACAGGAGGAGGCGCGGCGGAGAGAGTCGTCGTGGCGCAGTGAGCCGCATTCACTGAGCCGGTTTGGCATTTCCCTGGTTCTGCGGGCATTCGTGACGCATGTGTCCAGGTTTGTGACAATTGAAGCAGACAATGGAGGACGAGTCGCTGGAATGGGTTGTCTGCGCAGCGGAAGAGGACGAGGCAGGTTTGGAAGCCCCGCTTTCGGTGGAACCGGATGACGCGGACTGGTTTGGTCGGAGTCTGCACTCGTGGGATCCGTGACGCATGTTCCGTTCATGGTATTTGCACCACTGCCGAGGGGGCAGGTTGAGGCGCTGTCGGGGACCGGATTTCGAGGTATGGGCGGTGTTGTTGGCTGCGGAGTTTTCGCAATGATTCAAGCGGTATGCTTCCGCTATGTCGACCATTTCGTCCCAGGTGAGTGTCCGGTTTTTGTGCCACTTGCGCTGCAATTTGTCTTTGAGGCCGCCGTCGGAATTCCGGAATAGCTGCTCCATGAGGACCTGCTGCAGTAGAGGTTCCACGTCATCCAAGATCTCCGCCGAGAATTGGAGAAACGTCTCGTACTGGTCCCGCAGGCGTTCGGCAAAACTGACATAGCTTTCGCCGTCACGGGGCTTCATCCGTCGGAAGGTGTCGAGGCGATCCAACCGTGGGGTCGGATGTTGACTGGCGATGGCCGCGACCAGCGGTTCGAATTCTGTAATCCCCCTTTTGTAAAGTCAATGAGCCGTACCTTGGATGTGAGCGAGGGTGTTGTCCATGAGACATCGCACCCGATGTCCATCGTGCACGTTGTCGATGTCCAGGCGATTCCGTAACCGCATCGCATAATCTTCGAATTCTTCTTTGGCCTGTTGTTTCGGCAGCTCAGGGATCTGAGGCTTCGCAAACCAACGAGGCGGTTGGGCAGGAAGACGATGAGCAATCGTTGCGTCGGCGGCGTGGAAGGGCTGGGTAGCTGACGTCGACATCTGGACATGCTGCGGGACGGCGAAGAGAGCGGAAAGAGGTACCTGAAACTTCTCAAGATGAGCAGTGTATGTTGCCTTGGTGGAGATGAGCGGGTGCCCCAGACGATAGGTATCCACCAGGAACTGCAGCGTCAAGAGCGGGAGCGCTTCCCAAGTGCTGGAGGTTTGCGACGGGGCAGATGAGGCCGAGGTGATCATGCTGCGGGACGAGGGTCCGGCGGGCGATGGATCGGGCGTCGGTTCAGGGTTCTGCTCCGGTCGGGGTTCGATGTTCTGTTCCATCTGCGGTGGACCCTCCGGATTGCGTTGGTTCTCCATTTTGAGTGCTGCGGCGGCCGCTTGTCGAGAATTCTCAGTGTTTCGCACCATGAAGTGTCCACGTGTCTCCATAAAGAAATCGCTATTAGTGGCTGAGCCCCCAGCAATAAGGTGATCAAGAGAATCAGACCTTTCTTCACGAACACTGGACTTATTATTTCACAATCACACACAAACAACAGTAACAGAGGTCAGAGCTAAGAGGAGTTGATTCGTCAAAGGCTCCAATGGAAGTGGGGATGTTTCTCCTCCGTTGCGGACTTCTCCATGCAGTGGTTCTCCAGATGGGGTCAGAGATAAGAGGTTTCTGGGTTGGGACATTGAACGTCTGGGTCTCCTCCAGTACTGCCTCCTAGATGTCGCCTTCTTACGTAAAGGGGAACCCTTACTGTACTGTACTATAATTGTTTGTTTGTTTGCTACATTCATAGATGTCAGCATCGGCGAAAGTAGAGAGCTTGTCGAATAAAAGAGAAGCAGTGGTGAAAACATTCCCGCGTCCCGTCTGCATGCTGGACGCTGGTTAATTTCTTTATGATCTTACAATTCACGAAGTATGAAGTGAAATAAACTGCAATACTGTACTACATTTACAGTAGCGATGAGGTGGTACCCTTGGACTTTGATGGGGCACGTAGCAGTTGCTCACCTGCTGACCGCCGGTTTTTGTAAAATACCACGGCGACAAACGATTATAGCACTGAGTTATTTCTTTCGTTTGTTTTCCCGCAATACCGCCAATCATTGTGGCCAGGGATGAGTGAAAACATGTGCATTCAATGTTGACTACTGTGTAGCCGTATAATTCACTTTATTATTCGCTCGCTTTGCACAGATCAGAAGCGCAGCAGTGCATAAATAAGCTCTGAATATGTCGACCCATTTATTGTGTGCTGGTTATTGGTACACACAAATGGGTTGTTCCAACTTCCAATTACAGTATTTGTGCATCCGTGAACTCCATGCTGATTGCGTCGAATGATATAAAACCAGCGAGAACAAAGTGTAACTTTTTTTTAAACTTTCATGCAATGGAATGATTTTTTAAATAATATATACCTTTGGGTCCCTGCTGCATGGACGACTGCTTTAACAATAACATTTGACGTGTACCGTACTTGAAATCGGAATATTTAACCTCCACTTCTTTCCTGTCCGATTTTCGAAATTATTGAAATTACTGTAATTCGATTTTTCTTTTCTTGAAATTCTCTGATATAGACACATCACATTTTGGAACGTGTCTAAGTCCAAGTAGAAGGGTTGGTTTTCAACGAATGTTTGATTTATACTACAGTATTACTGAATTGGGAGGAACGTATTCTACGCCTGCATTTACATTTTTTCAGTTGTATTATGGTTTTTAATTTAAATTGATGATGTTGAACTGCTGCCGTGAGTATGCTGCTGATGCTGTTTATATTTGAGCCGCCGTTGATCATGAATATCACTCGTCGTGATCTTATTACAAATGTATGCGTCAAATTAGATTGATTCAAGTTCCTTGAGTTAATGAAAGGGTTTCTCAGTTTTTCTGTGGAGCAATCCTTTCTTCTTAGTTCTGCTGTGTGCCAACATTGCGTAGTCTTTTGTGAGAAGTTTCACATTTAAAACCTTCAACATCATTCAAGGTTTCACTCCTTGAGCAAGTGAAGCGAATATAGCGCAGATAAAGCTGTAAATAATTTTTCAAATTCCTGTATACAGCAGTATTTTGGATGAGGTTGCAAACTTCTTGATTTCTCAACGGTGCATATATACTTTTCAAAAACCCGCCCGAAGTGGTGTTCATGAAAGAAGGGGTTTAATTATGCTTTGCTGTTCAAGAGACGAAATTTCTTACGATTCATGAAAATGGAAGAAAACCTTCAAAAGATTGTAGTCATAAAATCCACTTATCGGAGTCCAATTGTCCGTATTGTGCGAACTTGGCCCTTCACGATTGGGTACGGGAATGGTGCGAAAACAATTTACCATTCGCTTCGGCTACCGCGATATCTGTCGCATTTGATCCTTTTCTATAGATTGTACTTTGAGGATAAATGATCCACTCGCAAATTTCGGAAAATACTTGGTGAAGTTCGACAAGGATGGTTCTGGAATTGTTGCTCGTCCTCTGGATTCCGCCTGGAATTCCCCCAAGGTTTTTCTGAATCGCCAAATAATTCTAGATTCATCGTCCACGGGAGTGAAAATGAAGAACGGAGACACAGTGGGGATTCACTTCGGATCACCTTTCCATTTCGGTTGGTGCACAGATTTATATTTGGATAACATTTTCTGAAATGTCCGAAACTACATCTGAAGTGTTATTTAGAGATTTCCATTTTCAGGAATGTCCTTGAATAAATGCTTCCTTATCGTGGCTAATATTTGTCTAAGCAGTAAAATCATGTTTAAAAAAATTGACCATGAAAAAAAAATTTTTCAGTGTGAAAAACCTTTTCTGAAGTGCTGACAATAAATAAGTACTAGAGCACATGTTGAAACAATATCTTGTCATAACAAACTTTATAATTTCAGTATATAACACACTTTTTGAGGAATGTTTTCAAGATAATTTCCTGACTAAGGCAGGCACATTCTGAAATTTTTGTTCCCAAAATTTGACTGACTGGTTCTTCTAGCATGGATGGAAGCTGTATCATCAATGACAACCATGCATTCAAGTGGTTCTTCACACATCATCTGCCCTTCCCAATTCTGTATGTAGTATTGGTACAACTGGTGGAATGAATGATTGAGGCAATTTTTTCCGGAAGATCACTCAGTTTTCAAACAATAATAAAAAAAATCTGAGAATGCAAGAGAAGTATGATCTGATGTTATGCATTTTGAAAATTTTCCAGTCCTTAATTTTGAAAGTCTTTTTATGTAAAAAGTTATTCAGTATAAGAAACTTTTTCTGAAGTCATTGAAAGTGTGCTGTAAGATTTTACTGTGTATAGCAGACTGAGGATGAGGGATTGGTTCAAGTTGGTTCAAACTCTCATGCAACTAAACCAGAAAAGCATGGTTTGTGTCCTCATCTAACCTTTCCCAAGTACTGCAAATAAGATTACCATTCTGAAATGTTTTCTCAAAGCAGGGATGAGTTTAATAATTTTGCTTTTCCATGCTGATTTTTAAAGCTAATTCTCTCATTTATTTTCAAGGAGAGAAATGCCTGCAGGGATGAAACAAAATATAAGGTACTGAAGTGAACCCTTGCTTAACCCTTGGATGGTGGAGGGTTCTTTCCCATCGCTGGCTGAAATTGGATTATTTTCGTATGCTGTGGCTTTTCAAGTTTTCTGAAGGTCAGAAAAGACCTTCCAGGTGGGCTGAGGCAAAGTCGGGATTAATCCAAGAAAAGCCCATTGCTTAGCATAGGATTTTTTTCTTTTTCCCACAAAATTTTTCTGTGCAAAAAGAAAAAAAACATCGGATTTTTCCTGGACTTTGTCCTCAAATCCCTGTTGCCCCTTTTTATTTTCTGCCCTGAGGTGTAACAAAATTTTGCAAAAATAGTCTGACTTTGCCGCCCAAGGGTTAACAAACTTGATTGGTTCCAGCAGACAAAAGTGTTATGAACAAATTTTAATTTCTCATAGATTTCAATGTGGAGAACCAATTTATTTGTTCCTGACACTTGAAATGCTATTGAAAATTCAATGAAAAAATCCAGAACAAATATATAATCAGAATGTGTTACAGCATGCTGCACAGCATCCTGCTTGTATTCTTGCAATGTTTTGTTGGATTGGACATAACTATATGACTGATGAAAACAACACCCAAAAAAGCTGATCCAGCAGAAAAAACATTCATGTATTAGTGGCCACCAGAAAATGAGATATTCATTATACCATAAATGCTGTATCTGATGAAACAATTCAGCAGTTGAACCCTTTCAAACCGTGGTTTGAAAGTGTTTTATCTACTTGTCCACAGCTTCTTATACAGATGAAATGTCAAATTGATTTTGAATCATATCTGTTAATATAATTTGGTCAATTGAGTCTGCTGAAACCATGGAACCCCTCATTTAATGTTGAACAAACTTTGAAAATATTTTGTAAGTGTTTGGTCTGCCTAATAATTTTTCTGCTTGATTTGTTGAGTGTAATTGCAATTAGATTGCTGGTCGTTATAGAATTCAGTGTCATGACCAAATTTGGAATTCTTTCCAGGGTACAACCGTTTATTGACCAAATTATGGTTTGTGAACTGAGGGATTTTTCTTTGAGAACTGAAGTTTGTTATCCAAAGGTTTACTGTTCAAACCAGTCAGTGTTGAATATAGACAAATATTATGCAAATTTACTTCAGGAATGCCTCAAGATTATGAATGTCAATGTGGAATAGGTTGGGTTTTTTATGTCAGCTAATATAACCCAGCTCTATATATACAGTTCATCCTTGTTGCAAAGGTCCTCATTTGTATTAATTTGAAATCATATTTAATTTACACAGGATTACAAGTGTGTTACTTTTCTGAATGCACAAGGATTGGAGTTTCCAGCATCAATAAATTCCTGGAACTGCCAAAAAGAGCAAAGATTGAAGTGTTGACAAACTTGGAGCCTGTGGATTTGCTTTTTGGAATAGCACCTGTATGCAGCATCTTGTTTGACCTGGTGAAAGATCCAAGATTATGGAAATCCTTTGGAAATGTTTCTGAACTGCCAAATGATGCAATCTCGGATGTGCTTCAGTTGTCAGGCGACAATGTTGAATCCATTGTTATCAAGCTGACTCTGTATAGTGACATTCCACCTTGGGTCTTCAGCTCTGTGAACTCGTCAAAACTGAAGGAGTTTTCCTTGAGTTTTTGTGATAATTGGGATGGGAAATTGCCGTACTCAATTATTCCAATGATCTCGCGTTGCCGGAACTTGAAGAGGATAAGACTGGAGAATTTCAAGGATTCTGTCCCAGGTTTTGGTTTTGAGGCCTTGCACAATGTGGAGCAACTTACAGTAAGGTGATAATTCGGTACTTTCCTGTTATCTCAGTACCCATTTTTCTTTGTCTTGTGAATTAAGTATTTGTGCAATGAAAAATTAGTTAATCACGCTAGTGGAAGAGAAAATGAACTACATCTGCTGAAACTGATTTTGGGAGGTGGTTAGGTAAAGTTAGGTTAGGTTAGGTCAGGTTATGTTAATCAAAAGATATCTGTAACTAACATAACCTGACCTAACCTAACTTTACTTGAACAGTAAACCTTTGGATAACAAACTTCAGTTCTCAAAGAAAAATCCCTCAGTTCACAAACCATAATTTGGTCAATAAACTGTTGTACCCTGGAAAGAATTCCAAATTTGGTCATGAGGGAAGGTACAGAGATAACAGGAAAGTAGGTACTGAGATAACAGGGAAGTACCAAGGAGTCTATAAGAAGAAACTGCTGATGACATAAAGAGAAGCAGATTTTGCTTATGGAGTTCAATAACCCCAAATTCTATTTTGCAATTCTTTTAGAAATCATCATCTGTAAAAATTATTTCTTTAACTTTATTTATTTTTAGAAACCAATCCCTATACCACGAATACAAGGGTTGGTTCATAAGTTCTGAGAATTTTTCAAATAGATTCAATAAAATCAGTTTCAGCAATTATAATTTTTACTGGCATTTAGCCCCATCATTTGGCAACACTTCATCAGTTCATGCTGTTCAATGTACTCTCTGCCAATTGGAATGCATTTTTCATCTGATAAATCCAACAATCAAAACTGTGCCAAAAATTGAGTTCCATTATATTAGGCAGTCTCAAAACATATGTTTGGATATGTGGGAATGTTGATTGAACCTTGTGAATGCAGAAAATAAATAGTTTTCTGTTCATTCATTCAAAACATGAGAACCAATCCTTGCTGTATGTCACTTATTGACATGATTTCAGGTCAGATGAACGAGCAGTCTTTGAAGTTTTCATCTCTGAAGAATCACGGAGTAACTTGGATTTGATTGGAATTTTTGCCGGATTGCCAAATCTCAAGTTTCTCTGTCTTGGTTTCGGATTTTTCTTGGATGGAACAAAGTGGGATGGATCCGCATTACCCGGTTTTGAGTCACTTCAAAAATTGACTTTCAAAGAAAGCATTATTGAAGGATTTACAGTGAATCCCTTGAGTTTTATGGTGAAGACGCTTACGTGTCTTCATGTTCCCGTAGACGGACAGATTGAAATGTTGGAAGTGCTTGAGAATTTGAAGGTTTGCAGTTTTTCAAAATTTTAAAAATGATTTTATGATTCTTATACTGTACATTTTAATTATTTTCATGTGTCTCTTTTGAGCAAAAATGGTACTTTCCTGTTATCTCAGTACCTACTTTCCATGCACCTACCAGAAACTGTGAATTTCATTTTTCTGCATTCTGCTGAAACTGATTTTGGGAGGCAATTAGGTAAAGTTAGGTTTGGTCAGGTTATGTTAGTTACAAATATCTTTCAATTACCCTGATCTGACCTAACATAACAAATACTGAATTCAGAAGACAAAGAAAAATGGGTACTGAGATAACAGGAAAGTACCGCAAAAACTATACATCATCATCATCAATGCATAGGGTCTCCATCGTAAATAAACGGGTTCCACATCAGAGGTAAACGTTTCTTTTTCTCCACGAAAGGTTCTGGTGCTTGAAGGACCACATGACCCCGACTTTGACCTAATCTCCTTTTTCCCTCGCCTGCGATCCCGCCTCAGGGTTCTCAAAATGATCTCCTCCAATGCACTCTCCAACGACGCGTTGATTGCTATTGCCTCCGGCCAAGGTTCGTCTCTCGAAGCATTCCATGCTCATCATTGCTCCGAACTGTCTGACAACGGGATAACTGCATTTCTGCGACTGTGTGGCTCGTTGAAATGGCTTGATATAAGTGGGAGACACGGTTTGAGAGGAGATTCAGCATGGATTGGAGAAATTGAAAATCAGACAAGATTTGTTTTTATGCGCATCGCGGATGTTTACGAGTTTTCCGATGCGCGATCGCGAACGATTTTTGCGAAGTTCGGGAATTTGCATGCTCTTTTCGAAAAGGATTGCCGTGATGTGTGGATAGATGATTTCGACGAAGCTTTCTTTTTGCCGGATTTCCTGGATTTTGTGAGAACGAGCATTTGAGAGGGCCCTATAAACGTTGTGTTCATTGGTGAAGGGATTGGCTCGATTTACTTCATAGAATATGATGCATGATGATATGCTGTACATGCATGTATAATAATACTGTACTATACTTGCTTGCATGGGCTTATGATGCTGGTCACACTTGAAGCATTGGCGTGAAAAACTATACAAAAGCTGAGCGACAGACCTTTAGCTTATCCTATGAAACCTTCAAATTTTCTGAGGTCTTTCAGCCATTATATTCTCTGAACAGGAAAAAGAAAGCAATGAAGAAAGTAAATTGATGTTCTTTGAAAGGAAGAGTAAGATTAACAGGACAAATAACCCCTTGTCTCCAAGTTCATCATCCCATCAATTCATTCAAGAAGCAATTCAAGTCCCAGAGTATAATCATTCACAATTTCAGAACATTCTTGCTATCCCACAACCAAAATGCTTGTTCCTGTAACTCAAAACTGCCCAAACTTGACTTTTTTGATGATCCCTTGAAATTTGACTTTGAGAGGTTCAACTGTAATTGCACCTCAATAAACAATTCAAAAATTTGTGGAAATGGTGAACATACAATGTCCAGAAGAGATACACTGATTAAAACTGCGGTAAAAGTAATGGATGGCTCAAAAAAGCAAAAATCTAACCGTGATCAAAAGTAGATTTCAGTTAAACTTAAAAACACTAATGTACATTTTCTAGCAATATTAATTTGTTTTCCTCCTGAGAAAAAGAAAAGTTGAGCGACAGAGAAAAAAAATTTCTAGAAACTTTTTACAAGATCAGTTCATCTACACATAATACAGTACTGTAATCTCAGGAAACGGTTACCAAGTGTGCATCTCATCAGTCCTCACTCCTCACAAAAACCATGAAAAATACGGAAAATTGTCATTTCCCAGGCATTTAGAACACACATAAGGCATGTGGCAAAAGATTCATTACGAATCGTGCTCAAAATATACATATATATCACCAAATTGCGTTGGCAGAAAAAAAAACAATCCACCTCTTGATCCCCTGATGGATTTTCAAGGCATCATATAGACTTTTCAAAGGTGCGCTGGACAAAATTTCGTGCGCAAACCCAATGGTTCGAGATCGTTACATACACGATATCCTGGTAAAATTTGCAGGACGTTCCCTACACTAACATCCTCACACCACAGAGTCAGGGTCAACAATTTCCAGAGCAGGATAACAGCAAAGTCAGAAATCACAAATTTCGTCAACCAACGGATATTCAACCGGGGATACAAGATTGCTTTCGACGAATTGGAGTGGCACACCTAAATGCTTTTGCGTTAGTTCGGTTACAAAGCCCGATTGAAAAAAAAACTAAAAGCATAGCTACCATTCCTGAACAATCGTCCATCAAACTGAGTAGTACCGCGATTTTCTGAAAACTTCTTGAACAGATGAGAAGGGGGAGAACCAAGAAAGCCCGAACTTCTCACCGAATACAGCCTGAACACTCTTCCACTTCGCCTGACGAGTCCAACTCCCATACTCTTTTTTTAATGCTTCGATTCCAGTTTCATCATTCCATATTGCGCTGATTTGCGAACCAAACATAATCGCAGTGAAAATCGCGAACAATAGGCCTTCAATAAGCAAAAACAGCATGAAGATCACCGATGCTGGAGGGGAGTATTTACTGCAAACCGCCCCGCGCCACTCTTCGTTCACGCAATAGATAAAATGATTCACACAAAGGAACAGGGCATGGACAGATATCACAGCAATGTAAAACGTGAACAGAACGAAATATTTCTGGTTCTTTTCACCGACACAGTTATTCACCCACGGGCAATGATGATCCATCTTTTTAATGCATCTCTGACATATGGAACAATGATGAGCTCGTTCCGGCTTGATAGAGCAACACTTGGGACACTTGAAAACGACCTCGCCTTCCTCGAAACCCATTTTCTGCATCATTTCACGGGTGGCGTTACCTTTTGGAACTGCTCCTGGATCTGTGAGCATTGCTCTTGCGTGGGACGCGGCGGCAAGAAAAGCGAGGCAATTAAACACAACCAAATTGATGAAATTGTACAACGGTGGGAAACCACCTCCCTCCCAAGGCAGAATAACCTGAGGACAAGTATATAGGAATACAGCATTTAAAAGGCAGTCGTAATCGAGAAAACTTACCACGACAACCACGAACCCCGCATACAACAGTAGTCCCCAAGTCATGAGAACGCAAATAATGCCACAGACATCTCGGATACACCAAAAACGTTTGTTACAACAAGTATTTTGTAATCGAGAAAACTTACCAGGACAACCACGAACCCCGCATACAACAGTAGTCCCCAAGTCATGAGAATGCAAATAATGCCACAGACATCTCGGATACACCAAAAACGTTTGTTACAGCAAGTATTTTGCGAATCGAAGGCGTCGGACACTGGGGCAATTTGATCACCATGCTCACTGCCTGCCACACCCGCCTCCACATGCACTCTGAAGCTCATACTCAATGGTTAAAAATTCCTTCTCACATTTCAGTCTGAAAAAGGCACATGGCGTCGGACATTGGGGCAATTCGATCACCATGCTCACTGCCTGCCACACCCGCCTCCACATGCACTCTGAAGCTCATACTCAATGGTTAAAAATTCCTTCTCACATTTCAGTCTGAAAAAGGCACACGTATCATCCTGAAACTTGTACGGAATTAGAAAGCACCGGCAGTAATTCATGACACTACAGTATATCAAAACCTTATTCACAGTACGAGCTCCGGGTCTAGTGTACTTTAGCGATGCCAGTGAAACGCACTGAGCGCGTCGAAGCGCGCGGCCATTAATTTTACCGTGCTGCCCTCTATGTACCCTTGCAAAGACGCGGCGTTGTTTTTACTGAGCCGC